CCTTTTTTGACTTTGTCGCTGACCTCAGCCCTAGTGATGGGCGAGTCCTCGGACTCGGTCAGTGGGATTACGGAGGTGCTTAAAGTGCTCCTACCTGACTATATGCCCAGTTCAAGAATATTACATCCCTGCTGCAAATTCCTTGGGCAAAACCCTGCTTTCCCCTCCTTAGTTCCCTGGCGGTTTGTCAGTATCTCTTTGAAGCTGACCCAAAGTCATTTTCCACACCTCAACTTCTCTCTTCACCCAACCCAAAAAACCCCACACCTGTCTAACGCCTCACCTACAGCAACATTCAGAGCCCCTGCTTTCAGAGCCCATGCTGTGCACTGAGGTGAACCTGACTATACCTGGACAGTATCTTTTTACCTCCAACACTAGCTCAGGCTCCGTTCCCACCAGAGAAGTTATGTTCCATGTCCCTAAAGCCAGTTTTAGTAACCGGGATCCGTCTGCCAAGGCCCCTGCCTTCGACTGCCACCTGATTCACTTTGCCATGGTCTCCTATGACTCCTGCTACAGAGAGGCCCCACCAGAGAACAGTCCTGTGGCTCAATCAGGCTGCGCCCAGGCGGCCCCAGGGGTGAAGGATTGGCCACCATGCATTCGCCAAAAGGCTCCTCCCCCAGGCCTGGCACCAGGACGGGGCCTTGGTTTCCCTGTTTCAGGTGAGGATTCCAGTTCCATGTTTATGTCCTTCCTTCATGAGGGTCATTGGGATCACACTGAGTCTGACCTCTCAGCTAGGACCAATTCACCTTTGGAGATCCTACCGGGGGCAATTTCTCCTAACATCTCCTATAGGATCACTGGGACACACAAACCCCTCCACCGTGGTAAGGTGGAGATTTATCATTTCATGTTTTACTTACATCCTAATAGATGGCTTTAGGTTATTGTAGTCTCATATTTGCTATTGTTATACAGGTGAATCTTACCTTGCTCGTCCAGTAGATTGGCTGAGCTGTACATCACTTCATCCCTGGGGTCTACAGAGGGCTGAAGGAGGATCAAACAATGTAAATGGGTATTGTAATAATGTACCATTAATGTTACACTGAGTAATTGCAGAAGGGACACACACTGTAAATGGGTAAGGTTCCCAATAAAATCTGGTTATAGAATGTGTCACATTATTCATACTACTTGCATGACTGATGTAATCAAAAATCATTTGATTTAACTAAAGGGAAACATTTTACTCAACTCACAATTTGGGCTGAAGGTTTCTTAAAGACCATGGTGCTGTAAACCAGCTCATCTCCAGGCTCTGTGTTCTGCTGAGATGAAACAACCACATATCAGCATTTAGCCTTTTCCTAATATTTACAATTACAAACTGGTTTTTAACGCATTTCCACTGGGAGCGGTTGCCATTCTTGTTTGCAGGGCAAAGGAGTAGCGGTAAACAGAGTTCTATGGGTTAACACAAACTCATCAGCGAGAGTAGCTGCTTCCGCAAGGGACGTAGCCTTCTGTTCATTCAGATATAACACGGTCGGGTACACAGTTTTTAAACACTCTTCAAGCAAAAGCAGCTCCTTGAGCTGGTCGAAATCAGTCACACCGTAGCGGTGCATCACTTACCAAAGAGGAGTGACTTCTCCCGAACGAGTTCCACGTGGGTTTGAGAGGCGGATTTACAAAGCTTCCGGAAGTTTTGCCGGAATCAAGGCTCTGTTCCAAACCAAGAGCTGAACAAACTTCCTGAGCTTTCCCCACGAGTTTGCACTGCAGCAGAAGCGACCAAAGGTGCCTGCGCCAATTCAGAGAATGGTCGCGATGCGCTCAAAGATTTTTCTCTAAATATACGAGTCCAATACGGCGACTCACATCAAATCCAATATTCCCCCTCTCAGGGGACCAGGGTGGAACTGTCGGAGAATGAGTGCGAGGATGCGAAGCATCATCCGGCGGGCTAGCATCTCCAAGGGGCGAGCTTACCTTGCGTGGCTGAGGTATGGGCTGTAGCTGGCCCACCCGCGCCTTTTGCAGGGCAGCATCCCGACCGCTTCCATCTCCAAAACCCTTATCAGAAGGAGTTGGGCTTGGCAATCCTGCCTCTTAATTTCCAATTCAAGTTCCCTAAGCCGAATTCTAAGGAGGATTGTCCTCCATGGGCGAGCCGGGATCCCTGGCATCCTTGCGCGGCCGGGACACCGGGCCTCCGGCTTCCGCCGTCGTAGGCGACCGGGTCGGGCAAGGTACACCACCCGAGAGATCACCAGGCTCCGGCAGGATTCCCTGCGTGACCAATTCGTCCGGCAGTACCTGCTTAACCTCCCGCTTTGAGGCACCGGCAGGGATCACCACATTAAAAATAAACCCGCGATGGCTACCAGATCAGTCTTCCTGCAATTATCAAACTGCTTCTGTGTGGGGCACAGGGTAAACTCAAGCAAGTCGAACGTAGCCATACTAATCCCAATTTCAAAGACTTTCCCCACCACAGTTAATCTGCCAAACAAACCTAACATCTAACACCTAACATACACACAGAATACATAGAGCAAAGCGTCAGAATCCGATGGGCGCGCGAAGACGTAAAACAAGAACCGGGCGAGCGATCGAAACCAAATAGCAAACAAACCAAGGCAAAGGTACAGTCAGGGGCAGGGCAAAGCGAAGATTCAGAAAACCAAAAACCATTATACACAATAAAGCAATAAAACAAAGCAAACCAATAACACCAAAGGAAATGAGCAGAGCTCCGGACTTGTCTTGCTGTGAGGCTTTTCACTTCGGACAGAAGGAAGTGACAGACGGTCTTGCAGTGAGTCGTGGGCGGGGTCCTGACGGGGAGGCGGAGCAAAGATCGAACGGAGGACGTGCTGCAAGCGACGAGACCCGTGGGCGGAGCTGAGCTTGCAGCGGCGCGTAACACTCCATAGAGTGTGTCCATATTTTGTAACATTCCCAAACTAATATGAGACTTACAATGGGGCATTAATGGAACAAACACACAGAGCAGATGCAGAAATGAACACTTACAGGGCGGCTGGGTCTGTTTCTGCTACTAATCAGCGTTTCTGCAGAGACATGATGGTAAAGCTGAGCTTCATTCACATCTGTGTTGATCAATACAAGCTTTGAGAACTAAAAGTGTTATATGATTAATAAAATTATTAATCAAAAAGAAAATAACCGATAATCAAATAATGTGGTTCAAATTCTGGATAACTGGTTTAATTACGTAAAATATATTTTACTTACTGGATCTTCTTCGCAGAATCCAGATAACCATGATAGTTGCCACCAGCAAAAGAAGCAGCACCAACATCAGCAGAAGGAGCATCTGACTGGAGAAGAACAAGAGAAGGAAAGTGAAGGTTTAAGACATGCAGGGGTTTTATGCAGGATCAATAACAGGTTTTTACTTATCTAACTTTGAATCTTGAATGCAAAACTATTGTACAGAGAAAGAAATGGGTTTGGCAGTTTACCTTGGTGACTGTGTGGTGTTCAGATTCTCATTAGTGGTGGAAGTCAGGGCACCAGAGGGATACATGGTCACAGCCCATCCTGTTGGGTGTTTTGTTGTTGAAGTGAAACCGTCTCTCTGCTGTGTAGATGAAGTAAAACTTTCTGTCTGCTGTAAAGCTGTAGTCAGCTCTCCCTGTTTGGGTGAAACTGCTGTTGCTGTGGAAGACCAGGTTAAAACAACAGTCAAAACATTTTAAATAACTTAAATCAAACTTACTCAATTTCACAATATACATGTAAATATGAATGAATTTACAACAAGTTAAAATTATCAAAGTAAAATACACTAAAAGAACCTTGGATGTCACTAGTGAGAATTTAACTATGTAACCATAAACATGTCATAGACAGTTTGTCTATAGTACATAATGTAATGATCAATAACAGACTGTGTCTGTTTACATATGTTACATACCGAGAAATTAATATAATCTGCAGTCCTTGACCTGCAGGCTAATTTAATAATTCACCTTCCATCACAATCAGCTGTAGATAGACACCATCATCTGCTGCCCCATGAATCTCCACAGCACACCAGTAAGTGTCAGAGTCCTTTTCCTGCAGGTTCCTCATGGTCACATTAAAGACCAGGTGGGTGGGGTCATCACTGATTGACACTTTCCCTACTGGCTGATTGGAGTCAGAACGTGCCAATGTGGAGCAGGAATTCCATTTAGACCCTGTACACCAGTACTTCACATGGTGTTTATACTTCTGATCATAGTAACATGGGATGGTGACAGATCCTCCTCTCTTTGCAGATACCCAGCTTACAGTCCTCACACTCTGAGCATCTGTGTGAATAGGAGAGAAACGAAGTACTGTTTGCTTATTTTAGTATTCAAATGCTGTACATTCCAATCTACTGATATTAGCAAGAAAATGTGTGAAATTTGTTAAAACATCTTACCTTTAACCTCTATTTTCAGATCCTGAGAGTCATCTATCTTGCCAATTCCACCAATCTCTACAGCACACCAGTAGATACCAGTGTCACTTATCTTCAGGTTCCTCATGATCACATGGAAAACTAGCTGGGCGGGATTATCAGTGATTGACACTTTACTGGAGCTCTGTGGTGAGTCTGTGCGTGCCATGATTGTACAGGAGGACCATAATTGCCCTGTACACCAGTATTTCACATGGTCTTTATACTTCTGATCATAGAAACATGGGATGGTGAGAGATTCTCCAGTCTGTGCAGTTAAATACCCGAACGTCCACACACTGTCACCACCTGCAGGGACATCATGGAAATCAGTGTTTACCAACTGGTTGATTGCCAACACATTCACAACATTGTCCTCATTCACAACATTCTCTTCCACAGAAGATCCCCCACCCAAGACATACAAAATCAACCATTACAACTCAGTAGCTCCCCTGATTGTTTTCTTTGTAGCAGTAGCTCATAGTGTAAAACTAAAAACATCATTCATCCTAAAGCAAATCAGCTGCAGGGCCTCTGCCTGCCTGTCCGCTGGCCGGTCAGCGCTCACAGGGCAGCTCTGGAGAAACAGGGAGACACTGTAATTCCCATTACTCCCAGAGAAACCCTCTAGGGGGCGCCACTCCCCCAAAGTAAATCTCAGAAAAAATGCTGTACTGACACAATGGGGGATATTAGCATATTCTGCAGGAAAAATACTGAGCTTGAGCTTTTTTAATGGAGCAGGGAGGTAACAATAGGCTTACAGAACAGAAGGTGACTGAAAGATACGATAAGATTGTTATAGTCGTTTACCTGTAACAAAATGTTTCTAAATCAGTGGGCTGTTTAGATTCATCAATGAAATTAATCATGGGGGCACTAGCCTGTCCCCACTGATTGACAACTGTTTTTACTGCCACCACCCACTTACAACCCCCCCCCCATGTGCCCCCCTGTGAAAATCTTCAGCCCGTCAACCTCCTCTCAGCATATGAGACACTGTTATTGTAAATGCAGTAAATGATGAAGTTCAGTGTGTGAGTGAACTCAAGTCAGCAGCTATGGTATAGATACACTTACTGGGTAACTTTATTAGGTACACCTTGCTAACTGGGTTGGTCCTCGTTTTGCCTTCAGAACTGCCTTAATTCTTTGTTGCACAAAATCAACAAGGTAATTCCTCAGAGACTTTGGTCCATGTTGACAAGATCATGATTTGTGGGACCTTCACGATGTGAATCTTTTGTTCCACCACATCTCGTAGCTGCTCCATTGTATCGAAATCTGGTAACTATGGAGGCCATTTGAGGACAGTGAAGTTATTGTCATGTGCAGGAATCAGTCTGACATGATATGAGCTTTGTGACATGGTGTGTTATCCTCTTAGAAGTAGCTATACAAGCTGGGTACACTATGGTCACAAAGGGATGGACATGGTCAGCAACAAAACTCAGGAAGACTGCGGCATCAAAATGGTGTTCAGCTGGTACTAAGGGGCCCAATCTGTGCCACGAAAATATCCCCCACACCATCAGACCATCACCACCAGCCTCAATTGTACAATTATACAAGGCAAGATGGATCCATCCTTTCATGTTGCTTACAGCAAATTCTGACTCTACCATCTGCCCATCCAAAATTTCTAATTGCACCCCCAGCCTGAGCAGTCTAGATCCAGGCCTGATCTAAAACACTGTTCAGTTGGTACTAATCTATGGCACAAAAATTTCCCTTACACCATTAGACCACTGGCAGTCTTAACTGGATACTGTAACCATGGTGTTCATGCCAAATTTTGACTATCATCTGAATGTCATAGCAGAAACCGAGACTCATTCAACCAGCAAAATTGTTCCAATGTTCTATTTTGGTGAGTCCGTGCCCACTGTAGTCTCTGTTTCCTGTTCTTAGTTCTCAGGAGTGGCACACGGTGTTTTCTGCTGCTGTAGCCGATCTGCTTCTAGGTTTCTGTTGTGCATTCAGAGATGCTCGTCTTCATACCTTGTTTGTAATGGGTGGTTATTTCATTTATTGTTGCCTTTCTAACATCTTGAACCAGTCTGGCCATTATCTTCTATAGTCTGCCATCAACATGGCATTTTCACCCAGAGAACCGACGCTTACTGGATATTTTTTCTTTTTTGGCAAATAGCACATTACAGACATATGTGCTGTCAATATGTCAACTAGCATAAGTGCAGCAAGGCTGAGCTTCTAATAAATGCACAGGTACAAATGTCAGCTGTATTGGATCAGGAGCTACACAGCAACTATACTTCTACACAACAACGTCTATCAAAGCAACTTATTACATACCAGCAACACTACTAAGTATCAAGTAATAACAGCCAGCAATGACATTGAACAATGAATGATGCCAAGCAAGAACACAGGGAAATAAAAAATATAAAATGTGATACATTAAATGGAAATTTAATTTATATTAATGTTCTCTATTGTTTCTCTAAACAAAGACACCAACCTGAAAATATAAACTGATATAATTAGGCATTGTTCCTCTTTTATGGTCCTTTCTGGTGAATTTGTGAATATTGCGTAATAGTGAATGTTTCTGTCTTACCTGGCAGCCTAATGAAGAAGACGTGGAGGAGGAAGAGGAGAGGAACCATGACTGAGTCTGTCAGAGACCCCAGCCCTCTGAAGACTGGCTCTCTCTTCCTGGTCCACTCTGATACCACTGATATCCTCTAAAGTCTCTGTTCTCAGAAGAAAAACGGTGCAACACATGCGCACAGTAACATGCAGCAAATGTGCAGACAGTGTGTGATGCGACATGTTCGGTTAAAATAGTCTGAAGTGTCTCTGGGGAGGGTCACAGTGTAACTAAACATGAAAAGGGGAAGGAAATGACCTCAGTGATGCAGTATGTCAGAAATGGCCACCATCTAATCACACAACAGGACTTCTGTGGATTATCGTGAACTACATAGAGAAATTGAACCTACCAGACTAAGTCCCATCACTGGAAACATCTGGAACATGGGGGATGGACGTCAGGAGCAAGACAAGTACTGTGGCAGCAGGCAGGCCGCAAACAAGCAAATAATAGCAAACTACAGCAGCCTCATGTAGAACAGAAGATCAGCAATGGCCACTGAGAGTCCATCAGAACAGCAGAACAAAATCACATTTTACAAGGAAAACCTGAATTAGATCCATCAATCACGCTGCTCCACTCACAGAAACCCCATGCGAACAATGAAGGTTGGCTCACATGAGAAGGCCTCACTACCTCAGTATTCACATAATAACCTGCTGACTGTCTGTGGGAGGAGCCACCATCCTGTATGGTGGGAGGAGTCTCAAGATTCTGGATGGGAGGCAGGCAAAGAAAGCAGGGAAACACAGATGGGGTCCAATGCTGGATCCAATATGGAGTGAACGGGGAATGAAGCAGGAGAGGGTGGATCCAGAGACAGTAACGAGGGTGAGGGGAGGAGTCCAGGCAACAATGAAGGATTTAGAGGCGACAGAACCACAGTGAGTAACCAGAAGCAGAAACCAGGACAAATCAAGAGGTCTCATACCAAGAGAGACAGAGCAACATCAAAAGGACAAAAGCAAGAAACAGGGTCTAGGACAGAGATTTAAGGGTATCTGTCATTCCTATGCATCAACACATTGTGAAACGTAAAGGAATGAAATGTTTCCCCAGTGTGTAGTACAAATGAAGAAACCAGTTTCCCCCAAGGAGCACCTTATCACACCCTGCCAGGCGGGGCCAGCTAATTGAGTAGATACAAGGAATGGCATAAAAATTTATATATTATATATACATACATACACTCACCTAAAGGATTATTCGGAACACCTGTTCAATTTCTCATTAATGCAATTATCTAATCAACCAATCACATGGCAGTTGCTTCAATGCATTTAGGGGTGTGGTCCTGGTCAA